TATTAATTAAATATTAATTTTAATCCTTCAACTTTAGAATTTTACATATTTTTATCTCTTAATTTTTTATGTATTTTTTATCCCTCAATTATAAAAAATGTAAACTTTTAGTTTTCTTTCATCAGTTAATTAGTTAAATTGGTCTATGTATGTGTTGATTAGGAAAATTTTACGTTGAGGAGAAAAATTTTACATTGAGTGCATAACAAATAAATATGTGGTTTAAATATGAGAAAAATTACTCTATCTATTGCCAACTGATTTTAGGTTGAATGCAAATTATGTATTGAAACTCATATGGATAATTTTTACAAAGTATCAGAGTTTAGGTTTTATCATGAGAAATTCATTATTAACCCACTTGATATAATCCAAAGTTAACACTGGAGCTATGTAAGAGGATGTATTAAATCACGTAATAGGATCCAATATTTATAGTGAGTTTATACGTGAGGGAGCACATTGAGTGAAAAAATCTCATATCGAATGTATAACAAATAAGTATATGGGTTAAATATAAGAAGAATTACTCTATTTATTGTCAATTAATTTTAGATTGAATGCAAGTTTTGTATTGAAATCCACATATATCATTTATAATATGCACATTTTTAATCCTCAATTTTAGAATTTTGTATAATTTTTATCTTTTAATTTAAAATTTCAAAGATTAAAAATATGTATATATAAATAAATTTAATGAATAAACTAATAAAATAATTAAAAATATATATTTCTTTTTTTTTTTAACAATTTGTAATTATTTATAGGGTTAATTGGGGGAGAGAGAAAAGGGATTTCGTGGGGCTCGAACGTACAACCCACTAGAGTTGAACAGCCTTAATCCAGAGTCCAATACCACTTAATTGGAACGGACCGTTCAAAAATATATATTTCTTATAATTAAAGAATTAAAAAAATCCATAAAAAATTAAAAACACGAAAGCTATTCAATGACATAAAGTTCTAAAGTTCTAAAGTTGCAGAACAAAATTAGTATTTAACTTATAATATTTTAAAATATTCCGTGCCACGTTTCTCCGTATGCTGCCAAAACTATACAGTAACAAACAAAACTTGCACCCAAAACCCAAGACGCCCGGCACCTCATGGAAAAGTTTGTCTTTGAGTTCGAGTTAGGACACTACCAACCAAAAATTTCTCCCCATCTTTTGCCTCAATTGGTATCTGTTCAGGAGTTTGTCTTCGTAACCTAATGGCTACATTTAAACATCCTTGTCATTTGGAGGCCTAAGTTTGTATAAGGGGGTGGGATCATTGATTCATCACTAATATTCTTGTCATTTGGAGGCCTTGGTTTGTATAAGCGGGTGGGGTCATTGATTCATCACTAACATCCTTGTCATTTGGAGGCCTTAGTTTGTATAAGGGGGTGGGGTCATTGGTTCATCACTAATATCCTTTTCATTTGGAGGCCTTGGTTTGAATAAGGGGTGGAGTCATTGATACACTACTAATATCCTTGTCATTTGGTTTGTATAAAAGGGGGTGGGGTCATTGATTCATCACTAACATCCTTGTCATTTGGAGGCCTTGGTTTGTATAAGCGGGTGGGGTCTTTGATTTTTTGCTGTTTGGTAGGGTCATTGATTCACCATTCATATCCTATCATTTCATCGTAACGTGTTTTCATCTTTTAGCAGATTAAAGAATTATAAAAGAAGATTCGAATACTTTTACTATTAAGCGGAGGCAAGAGTTATTAAAAAATTAATAACCCTTTTCCTTCTAAGCGGAAGCAAGAATTTTGTCACGTAATTTTTACATTTTAGCGGATAAAAGAATTATTAAAAGATTTGAGTACTTTTATTTTTATGATTTTTTTAATTTATGTTTTTAGACGCATATTAAAAATATATGAAATATATTTTTT